CCCATGACAAATGAAGAGCTCCCACTCCCATATGCTACTCCAGACAAGGGCCTCTTGTAATTTTTATCCACTGCACAACTCTGGGTCATGTGAAAAAAAAAAAAAGAAAAAAATAATAATAATTTGTATAATTTTCCAGCCAGAGTCTGATTATGATTTGGATGAAGCACTGAGAAATATCGGGCTGCTCAGAGGCTATATTTAGCTGAATGGGATCAAATCAAATCCAAGCAGAGAATTTGAAAAGGAGCAAAAAGCTCCGGGGATTCAGTTCATTACCAATCACTGGACTGCAGTCCCAAACACAGCATGTCCATATTTAAATGGCTAATATCACAGACTGCTAATTGTTTGGCAACACCTATTTTCTTTAGGGGGTTGACACAGCCTAATGAGTCTGCCAAACTGTTTGAAAATCCTTTATGCAGGGAATGAAAGCTGTATTCCAGTGCACAGGGTCCCAGGAGGGTTATGCTAAAGCTGATAAATGCAAATCAAGAAAAAAAAAAGAGAAGGTAAATGAGGAGGCGATGTTTTGTCCATGGGGCTTTTCCTAGTCCTCATGGAGAATGTGTAACAAAGTTAGCAGTATGTGCTATTTCTAGCCTGTAGTTTATGAATAGAGCTTTTTTCCAGCTCCTAAGTCTCCTTCGTTTTGCAGTCTGCCTGCTAAAGCATCAGCAACCTTGTTCCTTTTCCACTTTGCGTGCAGTCTCCGAGAAGGAGATGCAGTACCGAGGCTGTCGAGCAAACACAAAATTCGCCCGAGTGATGCAAGCCGCTGCTGCGGTGTCGGGCCGGTGCTTGCTCTCAGATTTGGTTGGCCTACCTTGCGTGTCTCATGCGGGCTGCGTGGGAGGGGGTGCCTGCGTGCCGCCCGCTTTCCACCTCATCCAGAAGGCTGGCGCCGAATGCCCGAATGCGCACGCACATAAGTACGTGATTATAGAAATGCTGGATTGCGTGTGAGGGGGAATTCTGCTGGTTTGTTTCTCAGAATTTATATTTTGCCTGCCTTTGTGTAAGATTTCAAAAGCGGTTTGGTTGAATACATGGGTTTTTTGTTTGTTTTCTCATTGCGTCGATTTTCTTTTCCAAGAGCTATTTTTTCTTTCAATAAATAACAACAAAGAAGACAGCCAAGGCCTACAATGCAGATGATCAGCAAGGATGATATTGTCATCTGTGTCAATCTGTTCCCTGAGCCTGGTGAAATAAAGAGTCCCTTTGGGAAGGTCAGAGCTTCATCAGGACCAATTAGTGGAGATGCCGCTGCTTATGTTTAAGCATTAACGACTGGGCAGGGCTGCTTTTTGGAGTGCCTGACACTGGCATGGAACAAGGCACCGACCTAATTACTCCTCTGCAAGAGCAGAAAATGCCTCGTGAATGCCTGCTTGGCAAGGATCTCTCATTAAGGGGAAAAAGCCCAACACAAGCACTCCTAGAAACAAAAATGAAAATGATAGGTAACCTGCGGCCATGAGACTCACTTCATGGCTGTGGGAAAAGAAGAGGAACTGCTATAAGGTGACTTAGGTTGCATTTGTGTTTTATTTCCTAGATTCATCTATTCTTTGGTCAATAAGGAGTATGAAGACAGAATGCAAACTTGCATTGCTGGAGAGCAGTGGGATATGTTGCTACCCTTGGTGTCAATATTAAATAGTACTTAAGGGCATTTCCCATGCTGGTGTCCTATGGGAGCTGGTTTTGTTAGTCTGTTCCTTCAGGGTTTGCAAACTCGCCTCGGAAAAGAAGCATGTGGGAGACCCAAGTGAAGAGTTGGTAATGAGAAGCTTACAATATGTAGCCTCTGTTTCTGCTTAAGTATGATCAAGAAGCAGACTGTGGTTTCCCAGTTCAATAGTGTTGGTTAGAGTATTTTCAGTCATAATAGTTTTGCTAAAATAAAACCAGAAGAGTGAGGGGAAACAGCTGCTCAGATGTTCCATGTCTCCTGAGCAGCTCTGTTCATTGCTGAAGTTTCGTTGCTTCTGTCTTTTTTACCTTTATTTTTCTCCTCCTCTGAAGAGTGCCAACAAACATCAGAAATTCAAAGTGTGTTGCTTAGTTGTGATTTATGAGTTAAATCACATGTTATTACTTCTTTTCTTTGAGTGAATGAGCGCACACTCTTAAATACTGAGGACCATTATTCATCCAGGGAGTGGGTGCAGCACAGATACTTACATGTCAGGCTTTGCCCAAAAGGCACATTTTGGGCAAGCTAGCTTTGGAAAAAGCATTTGCTTGGTAGTGCAAGAACAGCAAAGCTTTCTAGGTAAAGAGGGATCCAATGTTTGTGCAGATGTCTAGTCGTCGTGTTTCTTGGGATGTGCCTTTTTTTGGTAGTTACCAACTTATCACAACATGCTGAGTTACCTAGCTGGGTTATGGACTGAATGCTGCCCTTAGGATGATTTAATATCGCTGCCAGGTGATCCTGACCTGTGTGTTTCTTTGCTCAAGTCAGGCCCTTTACTCGCTCCTGCTTTGCCTATCTTACTGCAGGGAATGGCAGAGAGAAATTACATACTCAACAGCTGCACAGAAGAGTACCTACTACCTCAGGTGTAGCTGGCCTGTAGCAGCACTTCTTTAATGCTGCAATATGCTTAATGCTGCAGTATGCTTAATGCTGCTGCTTAAATCCTACAGCCTGAGTCTCTGAGCTTGCCTCTCACTAGATGCATCCTTTCTTCTCAAAAATTGGGATGCAGCTCTTTTCCATCCTTGAGTTAAATGGACAGTCCACTCCCACAGCAAGTCCTCAAGTCAGCTCTTTCAAACCTCGCTTGCTTTCAAAAGGCAAAAGAGCACAAGGCTTTAGCAGGTAGCAATGCTGCAGATGCAGGTTTATGAGGAGGGGGGACCACAAGGGGCCAGGCTTCCCTGGGATATCACTTGCTTCCCATGCCTGTGGTGCAGCTGCACAACCCCTGCTCCCAGCGTCTTGATCATGACATGCTTGACCTGCAGAAATCTGTGGGTTTCGGAGAAGTCTTTCTTTCTGTGGCTCTCTTCCTTGTTAAGCTTGGAGTGAATGGTGGCACAGTTGTGTCTCAATTTGCCCCGTAGAACATAGTAAAAGCCATGTTTATATCATGTGCCAACACGCTGTGAGACCTTCTCATGTAGCTGTGAGTCTGGTAGCTTTACGGGCAGTGTCTTGCAAACTTTGCTTTGGTTAGACTCTTGCTTCTATAGTTATTCTGATGAAGTAATGTTCAAGATTTCTCAGGGAGAAATGGAGGATCCAGTATCTACAATATACTTGCCTCCGGACCTATGTGCAGCAGCAATTGCATCATGTTCAGCTGTTAACTCAGCTTCTTACAGTATCCGCCTCACCAGGATACCCTGTAATGAAATGTAGAATGGAAGTGCACCAAAAATCAGTTATTTATTCAGTTTTTACACAGTTCTCATTCAGCGTTAACTTCTACTGGCTTCAACTGGAGTGTAGCTTCAGAGGAAATAAAATACAAAAGACTTCAGACTTTGGCCCTGTATGTTTCCTTCAAAGCAACACTTCTGAACATAACCAAACAGACAGGAGACAGAGAAAGAGAGAAGGAGTCAGGGAAATACAAAAGGATAATTGCGTTGTTTTACTAGAGCTTGATGTTAAAGGCAGATACATAGGAACTGCTGTGGCAGAGCTCATTAAAACTAATTGCCTTATGTAATAATACTTTGTGGTTCCAGAGCAGTTATCAGCTAAGGATCTTGGAGCCCTCTGCAGGCTCCACCTTATTCTGGCAGTCCTTTCTGTGAGATGTTTATATTCTACTTTCTATAGGCAGGCAAATGGAAGCGAACAAGGCGAAATTACTTTTCCACAGCTGCCTGTTGGGTCTGAGATCTGGGGTTAGAGCGAAGAAAAGTTCGTTTTAACTTCATTGTACTTCAACCACCACATAAACTTGTCCCTTTTCCTGCTGCTTTTTCCCGAGTCTTCTAGAGAAACATTGCAGTAGGAGGAAATGTGTCACTCGATCACTGATGAAATGACTGCATTCCCCAATTGCAGTCTTGGATGGTCCACTGTCAAAGCAGAATGAAATATTGAGTGGGCATCTGCAGAGATCTCTCCTGTGTTTCATACTCTGAGTATTTTCACTCTTGGGCTGCAGGATGGAAGAGAATAACACGTATGAAATCTGCAAACCTCTCAAAACTGAGAGGCAGTGCATGGGTTGTAAAGATCAGGAATAGAATGCCCAATGATTTTGGACAATTGGAAAAATGGCTTGAAATGCAGGATGCAGTTCAATAGGGCCAAGTGCAAAGCACCAAATTCAGGCTGGACTGAGGAAGTACCCAAATCCATGATGGGGAGCAACTAGAAAGGCAGAAGAAGGGACCTAGGCGTTATAACTTCTCACTAGCTATCCTCTAGTCAACAGTCATGATGTTTTGTAAAAAGCAAATATCTCGAATGTATCTGTACATGAAGTAATTGTCTGATTATTGTGATAATTAGTAAAACCTCTTTTGAAGTTTTGAACACTGTTCTGGAAGGAAGATGTGAAGTAAGTAGAGAGAAGTCAGAGGATGGCAGTGAAAACAAATAAAGTCCAGAAAATTTGGCTCACAGAGGAAAGTTAGAATAAATTGGAGATCGTCTGTCTGAAAGCAAATAAGAGTCTACAGATACATGAGGGTGAACAAGGCTATATGTGTAGTGAACAGGACAAGACAGATCTTAGATCCAATTTTCTGGCAATAATGGAGTAGCATACCTGT